ATATATGTGCTTGAACATGAGGTACATACTTCCCGTCTATGGGCAAAATGTTTTTTTTGTGTGTTTTTGTTCTGGTCCTTTAATTTTAGTAATCGATTTTCATTTCTTTGACGAGCGCTTGATTTCACCACGAGCGCCACACGTATGCTCTCACCTGTTAATTCCCAGATTGATTCCCCAATTTATGTTAGTTATTGATATCTGCTGCACCATTATGTATTTGCCGAGGCATATGTTATAATGTTTGTATGTTTGTTCCAAAGGCCTTTCATATCAATCTTTTTTAAATCTTGAAATCTGAAATCCGAAATTGATTCCCTGCCATATTCTACTGGTTTATTGAGGATAGTTTAGAAGGCGGATTTGAAACTTGTGCAGTTTATTTTTTTCAATTCCTAATCAAGGGAAACATATTATTGCAGCTATCTTTAAATCTCTTTGGAATTGTCATTTTGTCTTGTCTGAACACATGTAATAATAATGTAATACGGAAGCACCCCAGCACTGAAAGGATTAAGGAGTTTAAACCCTATTATGATTTGCAAGTGTCTCTGCCAGCCATTCAATAGACCCAAAATTCGAAATGAAGATGGAGTGTTTCGTTCTCGATAAGTCCATTCTTCTCCATTTTTTCGAGTGGGAGATAGTCTGTTACCCACATCAGTTGAGAAAAATACCCCGGCTTCGGCACATCCTTTGACCATGTCATGTTCCACCCTTTTCCTCTGCTCGACACCGCTGTGACCTTCACCTTGACGGAAGCCTTTGACTGGTCCTCCGTTACAGAGATGCCTTCGCTTCGGGAGTACTTGAGACACACGGCAATATGGGGCCAAAGAATGCTGTTGTAGAACCGCACGCCAGCCTCAAATTGAGGACGGCCTTGGCCAACTTTCCAGACCTTACTCCACGTAGTTGCATGACGACTTAAAAAAACGTTGCTTCGGATGACTTTGAAATCGTGCTCGTACATGTCAGGGGGAATTTCAACGACAGATTCCTTGGGTTTTTCGGATAGTACTTTCTCCATATGCTTCAGTCTCTGTTCTTGTTGATCCATCTTGAAATGTAAACGTTGTAGAGATGCCATCACATCATGGTTTTTTTCTGAAAATAAAAAGTAAAAACCATATTTTTGAAGCATTACATGATTACGTTCATGTTTTCGTTCATTAAATTTACTCATTCTTAAGGGGGTGGGAGGGGAGAGGGGGCTACACCCTGGAAGTCACAATTCGGCTCGAAATTATGGATTTTGAGATGTAGGCATTTTTGGTTTCTTCAGACTCTCTTACAACTATTTAATAGCACCAAAGCCTCCTAAACCCTTGTTTTTTCACATACCTGGCATGCTAGTCACCATCATTTCCACGTAAAGTTAATCTAATATTTTTCTTTGTCGTCCGTTTTCTCAAAACGAGTTTTTTCTTTATAATTTTTTGAATAACTCCACCACTTTTCATTCTTCGTGAAATTTTCATAGAATGAAGATAAGATATAACACTAAATATCTGTCTTTTGAATTTTCGATTGATGGAACAAATTTCTATTGGTGGAGTTTGGAGGGTGGATTTCTCTTTTCTTTTTTTTTACAAACTCAGGAAAATAAAATTAATAAAAATGTATCAATTTGGTATACGAAAAATTAAACAGAAAATCTGAAGATCTATTGTCTGCTAACATGCATGCAAAATAACCTATTTCTATGAAAAATGTGAGCTGTATTCCTCGCGTAAGACATGTAAACAAAATCCAATATGGCCGCGGTCTCCATGGTAACGCCTTTTTTTCTGAAACTTGATTGCGGATTTTACTACACCTTTTTATGCTTTTGTTATAAGTGTGAAATTTGGTAAAACTTGATCTACTAATAAGCTAGATTGCCTTCAAGTGTACCCCCCCCCCCTTAACAGCATTCGAATTGTCTCTCATTTATTCAGTTGTTAAATACATTTATCCTTAAATATTATTTTCGGCATGGTCAATGTCAGATATGAGTGAAAATACTGGATATTTTTTCAAGTCCTGACATGAATGGTGTGTATTCAAAAGAAAGTCCTGCTGTGGGTAGGCGTACAGATCTACAGACACATACACACACACACACACACACACACACACACACACACACAAACACATATACACAAACACACACATAAACACACACATACGCACATGCACACATACACACAAACACACACACATAAACACATACACACATACACACATTCAGAAATGCACACCAAAATACACATACACACTTACACACAAGCACCCACACGCACACACGCACACACAGACACACACAAACACAGACACACATACACAAACACACACATACACACTCATACACACAGGCACACATACACACAAACACGCACACATGAACACACATACACACCTACACATATACACACGTACACAAACACACATACACACATACACACACATGCACACACACGCAAACACACACACATATACACATGTACACAAATACACATACACACACATACACACATACACACAGACACACACACATACACACATACACACAAATATACACACACACAACACACACTCATACACACACATATACACACATACACACACATATACACACATACACACACGCACACACATACACACACATACACACCTGCACACAAAACACACACACAGACACACACATACACACACAAACACACACACACACACATACACACATACACCCACGCACACCCACACGCACACACACACACATACACACACACATACACACCTGTACACAAAACACACACACACACAGACACAGACACATACACACAAACACACACGTACACACACAGGGGCTGCCGAACTGTCTCAAAACTGAAAAAATCAAGGGCGCCATGATCTGGAGAATATTTTAAAGAAGTTTTTGGCGAAAACCGCTTGTCGATCGATGCAGCCATTAAAAAGCCTTTTGAATAGCAAAATT